GCTGCTTTCATATAATATTCAAAAGCCTTCTTTTCGTCTTTCTTAACACCAATACCATATCGATAATTGTAACCAAGTGCACGAAGTTGTTTAGAGTCCATTTTATTTAAAGAAAAAAAATAATAATAATAATGCGCTAAATAAAATTTGATACTTGAAACGTAGAGATAACGGAGGCATTTAATGTTTAGTCAAAGTAATACAAAAGTCACGATAATACAGTAGTTACATTTTTTGATTAGCTCATTAGTTGAAATTTTCACGCCTGCCTGCATGTATATTTGTATTTTTGATGTAACAAAAAACCAAAATTATACTAATGAAGTTACACATTCACTAAGCTGTTATTGGTTGGCTAACGCCGGTCTAGCTTCGATGTACTGTATTTTCCCGGAACTTTAGGGAGTCATAAAAATTTGCATCATAGGATACAGTCAACTATCTATATAAAGGAAGCTTGCTGAAAAAAATCTCCGTTATATGGCTTTTTTATTATTAATCGTTATAACCATTATAAACTATTTATATTTAAAATTTTGGGTCTTTGCAATTTGTCCGTTAAATCTGCGGATCCGATCTAAGAGTGTCTTTTATATCGGTAGTGACTGCAAAATAAGGACATTAAAGTTTCTAGATTCTCTCCGTACGCAGATACGAAAATTGGGAGTCAATAAATTTATTATTGAAATTTTTGATAAAAATAGAGGATGCCGTAAAAAATTCTGCTCAAAGTTTCGTAAGATATCGCTCATGTACTGCATTTTATTTACATAATTGCAGAAAGCTACTAAAAGTTATAATATATCGATTTTGATGCTCTGAACTTTATTAAACGTTATGTCAAATATTGATACATGTGATCAGAGAATTTCATTACATCAAACATTGAACTTTTTTAAGCATCATAATATACATTTTTACAAATTTCTTTGATAATTCCTTTGTAACGAACTGGCTGAAGTGAAAGAAACTGTATATAAGGAATAAAAACATTAGAAATTTTCATTATAAATTCTTACATTAATGATTCAAAAGTCTGGTACTCTCATACTAGTTAAACATTATGACATGACAAAAATACTTATATTAAGTTCAAATATAGGAAATATAAATAGTGTAAGCCTACATAGAGATAATATTAATTGATGTGTGAATAATAAAAGCATTAATGAGTCAGAAAAGATATTCACCTTTAATTCTCTTACTCCTTAATTAGTAATGCACGTATATTAATCGTAAAGGCAATCGTAGATTTACAGATTGTAGATAATGACACATTCATAATACACGTTTTATTTAAGTTAAGGCGGATAAGTTTGCTTGGGTCTAATTAAAAATTTTTATCGGATATTAAAGTCATGTACACATTAAGTATTTGTAATAATATGCATTATGAAGTATACAATATTGGGCAAAAATTGTCGAATAAGGCACGTGTAGCCAATCATTTGTCGAATTACCGTATTCGGTGTTAGGGATGGTAAAAAAAAACGTTTTAAAACGTTTTTTATATGTTTTTAATTGGTTTAAAAAAAGTTTTAAAACATCGAAGCTGATATTAAAATTTAAAGTGACACTTAGTCGGAGTTTAAAGTCAAATTTTCACGACACTTGGTCGGAGTTTAAAATTAAATTATTGCATTTTGGCCGGTAAATTTTGGGTCCAGCATTAAGCGCTATATTCTTTAGATCGATTAAAAAACATTTTAAAACATTTTTAAACAATTAAAAATAAAACAATCATTTGTTCTAAAATCATGTTTTAAAACATTTGCCATCCCTAGTTCAGAGTCAACCCATATACACTTAACGTTAAATATTTCTCAATATGATTTTACAAATTCTTTTAGAGTTATAGGTTTGAGAGTAACAAAACTTAGCGACTCATGTATATCTTCTATATCATAATAATATGATTTATAGTCCAACAACCTTGCTTTGTATACAGTGCTAAATCCATCTTTTCCTATAATTATTATATCAGCTAATCTATTAAATGGAATCCATTTAATATTATATTTATTATATTGAAATACTGTCAGATATTCATTTATTTTAGGGTTCAGAGTCAACCCATATACACTTAACGTTAAATATTTCTCAATATGATTTACAAATTCTTTTAGAGTTATGGTCTTGAGAGTAACAAAACTTAGTGACTCACGTATATCATTTTCATCACCACTATCCAACAACCTTGCTTTGTATACAGTGCTAAAACCATCTTTTCCTATAATTATTATATCGGTTAATCTATTAAATGGAATCCATTTAATATTGTATTTAAGTTGGATTTTTTAAAATTGCTCAATTGATTCAAATTGTTGTTTATTTTCATTTGAATTTATCCAATTATTAATTTTATCATGAATATCTCCCATAGTAAGTCGTTTATCGGGGTCAACATTCATGCATTGGTTGGCCAATTCTACATAATATTCAGGTGTACCGGGTGCACAGTTAGGTCTCAGCCCAATACAAATACTTTTATTAAGATAGTAACCTAAGTTATATCCGTCAAATGCTAGTGTTTCTGATGATACCTCGGTCATAATTACACCAAACCGATAGATATTTGCGGATTGAGTAAGTAGTTTTGATTCTCCCCATGAGATTTCTAAGAATTCTGGTGCGATATAAGGGAGAATGTCGTAAATTTCAGATCCCTTGATTTCGTAGTGAATATGTTCTGTTTCATTTAATTTTAACAAAACTTTTTTAAGCCAACATAACCTAGCATTCCAATCAGACGAATCAGTAGTTTGTATAAAATGTTTATGGAATTCGAATACCCTTTCTCTATTCATTTTGATAAAGTAGAACAACAATAGCTTATCCACATTACGTATAGTATTACAAATTTTAATTTATCAATGTTTGAGTTGCACGGGATACAGGTGCGTGTAGTGCTGTGTAACGAAAGAGGTAGAACGACGCACGCAGCGTAGCTCCAAAATTAGGCCGGAATTACTCAAAATTTTAGCAATGAAATCGCAGAAGTGAAAATTGTTCCTGGGCCAACTTTGCCATAGTAATTTTTGTAATGAAACAAATCAAAAAGTTAATTCCGGCCGGAAATTAATAACCAGTTTTGTAATGCGGGCCAAAAATTTGCAGATCACGGCCGTAAGCTAATCAAAATCGAGAATCTGCCATGACAATTTTGTTGCGGCGGCTATGGTTAATGCTCCAACCGCTACTAGAAGTTATGTGGATTGAATGATACGGGTAGGGATGTGTTACATAAATTACAATTTTACATTTCATGTAATTTTACGTAAGTTTCAGAAAACCAAATTTCATGCTATTTTACATAGGATTTGCAAAAAGTTTGGCCAACATTATTGCATCATTTGATTTGAATGCAAAATCCGAATTGTAACTCATAAATCGCCGAAATTTGATCTCAGAAACTAAATGTCGTGTATCCAAAGTTACGATTACATGAAAAATTGATTTACAGAATCTTACACAAAATTACGTAAAATTACGCAAAATTTCAGTAATTTTACATCCCTAGATACGGGGGCTTCTAAGGGCATAGTAATTCTATAATGGTGGCTTAATGATGGTGTGAACTTAATGAGAGAAAATCATTATTACTATGTTACTTCAGGATGGAAACAAGTTCTTCTGTTTATTAAATAAATGCTTCACTCTTTATACATTTAATCAATATGAAAGAGAACACGATTTGGAACCTACTTTATGACATCATAGGCTTCACACTATCATGTTAGCCTCATGTCAATGAACGAAAATATGAAATAGAATACATTTGCTTCATAATATTAGCGTAACAACTGTACACCAGAATCGTTATATGAAGACAAAAAAATAAGCATCTATAGTGAGTTCAAAGGTTATTAAAGATTTTAAGAAAGCACTCGTTGAATAACACATCCCGCAGATCTAAATATGCTAGTTAGAGACCTATTTCTTATCATACAACACTCACAACTATATTTGTTGGCCAAACCTGGACAAATTCCAAGCCCCAAAAAAATAATTGCTATTTATAGATAATATACTTGTAAAATTTTAAGATTATTTGTTGATTTAATTTTACATAGCTATAAATATATATATAATTTATTTAAACAAAGATTATTAATAAAATTTTTGAGCTATGAGTTTGGCCAGATTGTCCACTTTAAATAAACTTAAAGTAGACAAACCTAAAGAGTCTGGCCAAATTCATAGCTCAAAAATTTTATTGTAATCTCTGTTTAAATAAATTATATATATTCTTATAGCTATAGAACTAACAATTATTTTTAGAGGTTTGGGATTTGTCCAGATAAGAGTCAAAACGAAACCTACCCGAAACTAGTTTCGGAAAGGTTCTAATCCGAAACTAGGTTCAAAAAAATCGAAACCCCGAAATCCGAAACCCGAAACTATACTCCAAAACCAAAACCTATATTGAAATTCAAAAATATTATATGGAATCTTTTAAAATTTACTATAAAGTTTATTCATTTTTAATGAAAAAGAATCTAAAATATAATATTATTTTTTGAATAAATTATAAGATAATTTTAATTATATTTTTGGTAATTTTGTTTTCTCTGCCTCGTTTCGTTCGGCCTCTTTTTAAAGTTGGTCAATTTTATTTATTTACTTTTTTTAACATGCGAATTGGCGTACTCAATTTTATTTTTAATATCATGCCGTCATTACAACTGATTTCAAAATTCTAGGACAATAGAAAGAATTGTCAATGAACGAATCGATAAGTTTTTTGATGCTTGTTGATGCTGACAATTTATTTAATTCTGTGGTAACTTATCAATTCGATCATTAGTAGCTATGGACGTACTATTACGTAGTAAATAAAAAAGCTGATGCTTGCAAAGCAACCTTGATTGTCAGGATATAAACTCCGGAATTATGTTTTTCATGTTGTACTTGTGAATTACAATATACTTGTTAGACTGGGGTATTTCACATACTAATTAATCAAATACATATCAGGTACGATAGTAAAAATTAATAATACAGATTTTTTATGT